CTGTGTGTGTGTGTGTGTGTGTGTGTGTGTGTGTGTGGGTGTGTGTGTGGGTGTGGGTGTGTGTGAGACTGTTTGACCTCCGTACCTCATGACCTCAGTCACACTCGGAGCTGAAAACGTGTGTGTGTGTGACAGTCTCTCTGTGGTTGTGTTTGTGCATGTTTCACTGTTTTCAAAAATAATAAAAAAAACAAAAACGATTTTTCGAGCACTGTGTGTGTGTTCCTGTACAGCTGTCATGGTGAGGACCACTCGTTTAGACAAGGTGTGTTTATTCTTGTTGGACTACCTTTGTGAGGACCATGTTTTTTCCTAACTGTTTTCATACTTTTTGTTTACTTCTATATTAAAAGTGTTTTAGCATCATGTTCCTGGATGCGGAAACCTCACCAACGCCTTTCTGTTTTCCTCGTTAGATAAACAAAGGGAGGTCTTGTTAAACGGGGCGGGGGGGTTGGGGGGGCTCGGTTACAAAGAGGCTGAAACAAAGCTTCACTTCCTGGAGGACTTCCTGTGAGCAGACGCTCAATGAGGCTTTGTTATCACAACATTATACAGCTGGGGGAGTCTGGACCTGTACCGGGGGGTGAACGGCCAATAATACAGTTTTTATCATTTTTATATCATCATATAAATCGTCAATTTATTTTTTACCTTAATTTATACGTTTTTGTATATTTTTGGAACCTTTTTATATTCTATTATTGTATTTGATTTATCTCCAAACATGTTATTTATTTTTGACATTTAATTCTATTTTTTTCTTTATATCTATTTATTATTTTGTAACCTTTTTGTTGTATGTATTTCTCATTGTTCCTCCGTAGTTGAAAGGATAGGGTTTGATTAGTGACTTAGTCCCGCCCCTAAATCCCTTGGATGTGACAGGTGTTAGCTGTTTATTGTTTCATTGCCCCTACGCTATCCTTTCAACTACTTACCTCAACCATTGAATTCATTCATTCATTATTATTCTGTGTGTCCCACATTAAATCCTCCCTCTCTCAGACGTATTCTTGTCCCTCCTGAGCCACCCTACAGCTCCTCCTCTCCCCCCTCCCTCCATTATAAGCCCTCCCGACCTCTCTCTCTAACTCTCTGACTCCTGACGGATCGTACCATGCAGCTGGACGTTGTGGGGGTGTTCTCTCCTGACCTGTGGGGGTTCCTCCTGCTCCTGGGGGCCTCTCTGCTCTCTCTCTCCTCCCTATTGGCCCCCTGGCTCTCTCTGGCCTCCGACCTGCTGCCAGCTGAGAGGTTTGACCTGTCTCTGTGGGGGGGCTGTGTGGTTCACGACGGGGGGCCCCTGCAGTGCCGGCCGCACCCCGGGCTCCTGGCCCTGCCCCCCCACCTGCTGTGGGCCCGGGTCCTCACAGGGGCCTCGCTGGGCTTCAGTCTGCTGGCTCTGCTGCTGACGGCCCCCGGACTACAGGTGGTTCACAGCTGGGGGCCCCGTCAGAAGAGGGTCCTGCTGGGTGTTGGGGGGGCCCTCAGCCTGGTGGCAGGGCTCCTGGTTCTGGTCCCGGTGTCTCACGTGGCCCGCCTGGCCTCCCTGAGCCGGTTCGACCCCTCACTGCCCCCCGTGGCCCCCCGCTGGGAGAAGGGGGGGGCGCTGTACAGTGGCTGGGCGGCGGCTGGGATGCACCTGGGAGCCGGAGCCCTGCTCATAGCTACCTGTTACCGTCAGAGGGGGGGAACACTGGAGACAGGGGCCCCCGTGAGGAGGATAGAGAGGGTCTGAACTACAGCTTTCAGGAGGTCGTAACACGACTGACCACCGACTGAAACCACTACTGAAACCACCAGCTCAACTGCGGCTGAACTACAACTTAACCCCGACTTTCAGGAGGTCCGAATACGACTGAATTGCTGCTGAACTACGGCTGAACTACGACTGAAACTACGGCTAAACCACAACTGAACTGCGGCTGAACTGCGGCTGAACTACAACTTGAACTACGGCTGAACTGCGGCTGAACTGCGGCTGAACTACAACTTGAACTACGGCTGAACTACGACTGAACTGCGGCTGAATCAACTACTGAAACTACGGCTGAACTACGACTTACCCCGGCTTTCAGGAGGCAGACTACAAGTGACAGCCGGTGCCATATCTACGAGTTTAAGTCAGTAAAACGTTTCCACTTGAAGCTCTTAAGACAACTCTTGTTTTGTAATCTTGAGACTCTTTATCTTCCGTAACTCATCACTAGCTCTAACTCCTATTAGCATTAGCATGACATAACGTTAGCATATTTAGACGTGACCCGTCAGGAAAGGTGTAATATATAAAAGGACTGTGTTAGCGTCAGTGATGAGGCGGGGGAGTTTCAGGGTTATATCTGTTAGTTTCATATTTGACCCTGTTCACTTTTAGACAAAACGAGTTGCTGCTAAACTTTATTTAAAACAACAAAACTTTAACTTTTTATGAATTAAAAGCTTGTTTTGATGCTTTTAAGATGAAAATATATGAAATCTGAAATAAGTGATTTGTATTTCATTAAAATCCATTGTTAATGGGAATGGAGGTTTAAATCTAAATCTATTTTCTGTCTGATTTTACTTTCCTTCATCTTTACTTTACTTTGGCTTCAATCATTAAGTAATGACTTTTATTTATTCACATGTTTATTTGAGTTTGTTTCCAATCAGTCGGGAGTTACTCTTGTTCTACCTGTTGAACCAGATGATTGTAAATAAAGATGATTGTAAATAAAGATGGAACAGAATTAAAAATGGATTCCTGGGTTTTTAGAATAATTCATTTCTTTTTTTATCAATAAAAACTACTTATTTTATTTAAATAGCATTTATTTAAAGGATTTTTTTTAATCTACTTCAAATGTATTATTATGTTATAATTATGTAGAATTTAATAACCTATTTATTTAATTATATTTATTGATACATTTACTTTTAAGGCTCTCTTTGATCCTTTTTCTGTATTTTATATAAAATAATATGACTGTGTTTTCCTGCTCTCTGATTGGCTGTCCGCCCGCAGCCGACCAATGAGAGCAGCCTTTGTTCTGCAGCACAATGACCTCATTATGGTCCAATCAGCTGACGGCAGCACGGGACTCCATCAGGAGAGAAAGCACACGGGCCGTTTCTCAATCTCGAGGAAACTGGCTTCCAAGCCAATATTTCAAGGATGCTACGTCATCGAGTGGCGCAGCAGGGCCGTTCCAATGTCCAGCATACTTGGAATTCCACCGAGGCCGTGTCCTTGGTTTGGGCGAAATTTCGAGGCTGCACATGGGTAGACTTCGCGCCCTTAAAATCCCCACAATGCTTTGCGCACGGACCAATTTCAAAAACTCTTGACGCAGCACACATTTAAATGTAAGTATGTAGTGGCGTGGAACATGTGTTGGTAAATATGTTACTTTGTTATCACCAAAAATGTGTTCCGTGAAAGTAAAGCAAGTTCATAATTAGATAGACATCGTGAGGTATTTATTTTCGGTACAGTTTATGTTGAAACCGTTAGAGAGAGTGGCACACTTGTTAGCCTGTTCCATTCTTCTTCGTTTTCCGAAGCCGTGGCTTGGAAGCATACTTGCTTCGTTTCTGAAGGAAGTGACTTGGAAGTACGCGACTACCAAGCCAGCATCCTCGCGATTGAGAAACACCCACGGTCAGATCAATAACACTAAAGGTGTGTCCTTCCTGTCCAGCAGGGGGCAGCAGCGGGAACACCTGAGACTGTCTTTCATTCATATACTGATAAAGTTGTATTATTGACAGTCACACACAAACGCTGTAAAAAAGAAATTACAGTTTCATATTTCAGATTATATGTATTTGTCAAAGACCTGAAATCACGTGATGTTCCTCCCCCTCGTGGACCAATCTTTAAAATGAGGAATAACAGAGGATTTTAGCAGAACAACTAAAGCAGCAGTGTTAATAATAACAGAAACGCCAAAGAGTCACATCTAATAGAAATATATAAAAGCATTTATTTTAAATTGTGTAGCAGTCAGTTTATAATTTTGGCAGCACTGTTGAGCATTTGGAAAATGTATTTTCATGCCTCTGTGCAAGGCTTAGTCTTTCTATCTTTATAGCCACATGGTGTAAAGTAACTAAGTTCATAAACTCAACAAGTACTATACTTGGGCACAATTTTGAGATACTTGTACTTTATTTAAGTATTTCAATGTTTTGCTACTTTGTTCTTCTACTCCACTACAGTTCAGAGGTACATGGTGTACTTCTACTCTCTACAGTTCAGAGGTACATGGTGTACTTCTACTCTACTACAGTTCAGAGGTACATGGTGTACTTCTACTCCTCTACAGTTCAGAGGTACATGGTGTACTTTTCCTCCACTACATGTATTTAATCCCTTTAGTTACTTCTCAGATGTGGATGAATGATGTGAAATCTAATCAAGTGTTGAATCAGACTTTAGTTCCACCTGGAGTAAATCCACAAGCTACCCT